AACTGAGAAGTTAATGCAGGAAGGCCGCTGCTTCCATTGCCAGAAAACTGGACACTGAGCTTATGAATGTCCTACCAAGAATGCTCAAGTCCACGAAGTTAGCACTTATGATGCTCCACTTTCGGGAAAAGAATAACCTTCAGACAAGACGTCACTGAAGGTGTCATGACAGCCAGAATTGCAACTTCTTCCTCAAGCTTTGGATTAGATCCAGATACTCCATTTATAGTTACTTGTATGATAGGAAAATCAAAAATCAAAGCACAAGCTCTTATCGATACTGGAGCTACTGGAGGAAACTTTGTGAATGCTGTTGACGCAGAACGAATTTGTGAGATAGAAGGCATATCACCAGTAGAGCTTTTAAAGCCACGCCCTATTCAAGGCTTTGATGGAACAGCAGCCCCTCCCATCACTCATGCTATATACCCTCGCCTGAATTCGAAATTAGGACATGCGCCCCTTTACAACATGTCAATGATTGGAGCTGCACCATTTAATATGCTTCGGAAGCAGAAGGGAGCTGAGGTTTTTGCAGTATCATTTAAAGATATACTCGCTGAACAGGCAAAGGAGAAAGTGAAGGAAATCGACCCAAAACTGATCCTCCCAAAGGAGTTCCATGAATATCTCAATGTGTTCTCAAAGCAGGCTGCAGATGAACTCCCCCCTCACCGATATGCAGACCACCACATCGTCTTAGAACAAGATTCGAAATTAGGACATGCGCCCCTTTACAACATGTCAAAGGAGGAACTTGATCTTGTGAAGAAATATATTGACGACAACTTGTCGAAAGGATTTATTGAAGCTAGCAAAGCTCCCTTTGCCTCTCCTGTCCTTTTCGTCTGCAAACCAGGTGGCGGACTTCGATTCTGTGTTGATTACCGCAAGTTAAATGCCATTACAAGAAAAGACTCATACCCACTACCCCTCATCGATGAAACATTGGCTCAGATCACAGGTGCCAAATATCTTACAAAGATTGACATTCGTCATGCATTTAATCGGATCTGTATGCAAACAAAAGAAGATGAAGATCTCACTACCTTTAAGACGAGATTTGGATCATACACGTACAAGGTCCTCCCTTTTGGCCTTACAAATGGCCCTGCAACATTCCAGCAATATATGAACGAAACCCTTATGGAATACATAAACAAATTTGTTACAGCATATATGGATGATCTTCTCATCTATAGTGCGCATCGATCTGAGCATACCCAGCATGTGCAAATGGTTTTACAGAAGCTCCGTGAAGCTGGACTACAAGCAAACATTGCAAAATGTGAATTCTATGTCCAAGAAACAAAATTCCTAGGACTTATCATTGGAATCTACGGCATGAGAATGGACCCCGCAAAAGTCCAAACTATATTTGAATGGAAAGCACCAAGGTCGCTCCAAGATACACAAGCCTTCATTGGGTTCTGTGTGTTCTACCGGTGGTTTATAAGAAGCTACTCTACTATTATGAAGCCACTGGTAAATCTCACAAAGAAAAGTCAAATATTCGAATGGAACCAAGCCTGCCAGGCAGCCTTTGAGTTGATTAAGAAGACTGTTACAGAAGCACCCGTGCTACAACACTTTGACCGGGACAAAACAGCATATGTGGAAGCATGTCATACTGACATTCGTTGCACTCAGTTTGCTATCAAACTCAAGAGCAAACTTGGAAATCTCCTCCTCAAACCTACAAGTCACTATACATATTTTGGCTTATCACACCAACAACAAGAGCAATACTACTCAACGATTGCTACAACCATCTATGATTCATTACACGTCATCGCTCCTTAGTTACTGGGCCGATATTACCACATAGCATATCTCTACAACCCTCTATGATTCATTACATGACATCACTCATACTACCACATGACATATCTCTACCAACTAGAGGCCTAGGAGCATGAACGATAGCTCTAAAAGCTCCTACGAACCTCTATGATTCATTACATGTCATCGCTCTTTAGTTACAAGATTGGTTAAGTTATGACATAATTTGTCTATGACATAATTTGTCTATAGGGGTACTCTGACCTTGGACCTCCTTTTACTTCCTATAGGCTACAAACCTAAGAGATGGTTCTATGGGATTCTCTTACATCGACTACAGTTACCAAACCTGGTAAGTCATGGAAAGTCTTGGAAAATGAGAGAACTACACTCCTTAGCATAAATAGGATTGCCCTTTCCTTAAGAAAGGGCAAGCAGACAATACAGTAAATCGACTATCACATACTTCCACGTCTTTTCCAAGCTTCCAAGCATTCATCTTGTTACTCCTTGTTTCTGAAAAGTCAGTGAGGTGTTAAACCTCTGACTTACCCCTGAGTTCCCAGACTCAACATTTGTTGCAACTTGTCTGAACCACTTCACTACATCACACACCTGATTGCTGCATTGTGGAATAGTCTAAGCTATGACCCTTTGGCTCTGTTTTCTAAGACAGTGTGTTGTCTTAGTAAATTCATCCCTTCCTTGGGTGGCTAGATTCTCACATCTGGTGCACCCACCATTACAAAGCAGATGCCTCAGACTATATGTTACGGCTATAGTAACATGATGTCATGGTTACAGGGCCAGGGCCTAGTAACGTGACGTGTGAGTCACAGTGGGAAGCGGGGTAGGCTGCCATGTGACGGGGCTAATGGATAGTTGCAGAAACTAGTGGATATTGGATAGTTGAGCTATCCACGAACTATCCTGAATATCTAGCTATCCGCCAACTATCCAGATTACCCATGAGGCACGACGCCACTATATAAGTAGATAGTATTTCCTTAGATAGGAGCTTCGTGCTCAACTCAATACAGTATTTGTTATATACTAGTAACGTGTTACTTGAAGCCTTTGTGTCTGATCCCCTGCCTCCTCTGATAAGTAAACCTTTACGCAAGAGAACCTCTGTGTCTTCTATCGTTTAGAAGTCAGCGTTACACTATATATCCTCAGGAGTTCTATCACAGAAGGACGGCCAAGGAGTACTACACCTCATTGCCTTCTTCTCAAAGAAAATGACACCTGCTGAGTGCAATTACGAGATCTATGACAAGGAGCTACTGGCCATCATTAGATGCTTCGAAGCATGGAGACCAGAAGTTGAGGGCACAGCAATGCCAGTACAAGTTTTGTCAGACCACAAGAGTCTTGAATATTTCATGAGCACAAAAAAGCTTACTAGGCGGCAAAACTCGATGGGCAGAATTCCTCTCTCAATACAATTTCCAAATCATATATCGACCTGGCAAGCAGAACGGAAAAGCAGATGCGTTAACTCGAAGACCAGGAGATAGACCAGAAGGGAATGAAGAAGATGACTGTCAAAAACAACAGCTTCAAACCCTATTACCCCTTGAGAGACTCCATCCGGATCTCGCACAGCAGCTAGAACTCAAAAGTCAAGGGCAGGCACAAGATGCTCAACTTGCACCAATCCTACCACAAGATCAAAGCATCCATGAACAGATTCAAGCTGCGCAGCTCCAGGATGAATTATGCAAGGATACAATCTGAAGACTACAGAACAACGAGCGAGATAGCCCAAATATAGCCTTAGCACATTGCGAAGAGAGAAATGGACTCCTACTCTACCAAAATCGAGTTTGGATCCCAGAAGACGTCCGAGTTAAACTCCTTCATGAGGTTCACGACCAGCCAGCAATGGGACACCCTGGAATTGGGAAGCTGATTCGAATCATTAAGAGACAGTACTACTGGCCCCGGATGGACAAGACTATCACTCAATATGTGAGGAATTGCCATACCTGCAAGAGATCAAAACCAACCCGGGACGCATACAATGGACTCCTACAACCAATCCCAATTGGAAGCCAACCATGGAAGGACATATCACTCGATTTTATTACAGGATTACCATTATGTGAAGGAAACAATTCTATCCTTGTAGTAGCATGCCGACTTACAAAAGAGCGCCATTTTATCCCATGCTTTGCAGGTAAAGAAGGCACCAGTTTGTAGCTGTAGTGTGGAAAATCCTCTGCAAAGTTTGGAAAGTTACAATCAAATTGTCTACAGCCTTCCACCCAGAAACGGACGGGCAAACTGAGAGGTTTAATGCAGAACTCGAGCGATATTTACGGGCTCATGTCAACTATCTCCAAGACAACTGGGTTGAATATCTTTGCATGGCTGAATATATATATTAGATAATTAGAATTATATTGTGTACGTACTTTAAGTACATTGAGTCGCAGCAAATGCCCTTCCATCAGACTCAACAAAAGTTAGCCCATTTTTTGCAAACAAGGGTTTCGAGCCAAGAATGAGCTTTGATATAGAGGATAGCACGTTCCAAACTGCCCTTCAAGAACATAAGGACATAGCTCAAAACATGAAAGATATTTGGGAATTCCTACAAGACCAGATTGCCCTCTCACAAACCCGAATGGAGCACTTTGCAAATCAAAACAGGAAGCCAGCACCAAGATATAAGATAGGAGACCGGGTCTGGCTTTCTACTCGGAATATCAAAACCCAAAGAAACTTGGCCATAAGCAAGTTGGTCCATTTCAAATCCTTGAGCAAATTGGGAATGTTGCATACCGACTCCAGCTACCACCAAGCATGAAGATACACCTGTGTTTCATAGCAACCTCTTACGACTTGACTCAGATGATGTTTTACAAGGCCAGCACCATGAACCACCCCTGCCAATCATTATAGAAGATGAACTTGAATGGGAAGTTGAAGAAATCCTAGATTCTAAACTCCTATGGAAGAAGCTGTTCTATATGGCAGCATGGAAGAACCACCCACTAGACAACACTTGGTATCCTGCTGCTCGAGTGTAGTTAGGGGGGCGTTTGGATATCGTTTAGGAGGTGGGTTGGTGGCATGGGGTTAGATTATGAGGAAACATGGCTTCGTGGAGAGGGGTATACGCATTACAGGGAGGCTGGAAGTTATATCCCCTCAATTCCAAAGACACAGGGAATCACAAATTCGATCAGCGAACAGAGCAATCAACAATTTCTCGAAATAGTATTCCGGCTATCCTAGCAAAACTCCTATTATGCAAGTCTTAGAACTCCACTCATATCGAGACAGAACTACGCATCAGCCATCTCCACATCGGCCTTCTTCTTCTCCAGCTCTGCCTTCTTGGCAAGATTCTTCTTCGCATTCTCCTTGCTCTTGTTCACCTTCTTCTTCTCCTCCCTCACCGCAGGCTCTGCATTCTTGGCCGCCCCATTAGGATCAATGCCCTTCCGGCGCATGCGTGCCCGTTGTGCCTTGTCAATGAAAACCCTATCCGCCTCATCATCCCACTCCATCTTATCCTCACCACCCATCAGCTCAATCGGACGCTTGTCAACATCCAGCTCGTCATTCTTGGCCGCCTGGTCCTTTGCAGGTGCTGCATTGCCCAGTCCCTTGCCAGGAGTGAGAGCGAACTTCTTGAACTTCGCTACAAAGAAACCGTCCACGTTGTACGCGTGCGGGTAGTATCTCCGTGTAATCTTCATCTTTGCGTCAAAGTTCTTGCCCATATACGCCGTAAAACCCTCCTTGCCAAACGTCAGGCCAGTCTCCACGAGCCTCACATTAGGTCGCTTCGATAAAGCGTACTGCACAACCGACTCGTTCTCCTCCACAGTCACCGAACAAGTTGAGTACACAATAAATCCTCCCGTCTTGGACGCATGGTCTACCGAGTCGATTGCTGCGAGCAGGAGCTGCTTCTGGAGATGCGGTAGCATCAGGAAATCGCGCTCAGTTTTGTTCGTCTTCACGGACGGATCCTTGGCAATGACACCAGTACCGGAGCAGGGAGCATCGAGCAGGACCCTGTCAAAGCCACCCATCACCTTGGGGAATTCGCGTGCATCGTAGTTGCACACAATCGTATTCTTGACGCCCAGACGGTGGATGTTACCAATGAGACCCTTGGCACGAGCTTTGTTGGAATCGTTGGCGAAGATGCAGCCAGTGTTCTTCATTAGGGCAGCGATATAAGTCGTCTTACCACCGGGAGCGGATGCCATATCGAGAACGCGCTCATTCTCTTGCGGTGCGAGGGCCATGACGGGAAGGAAGGAGGAGGCGGCCTGGAGGATGTAGTGGCCAGCAAGGTATTCGGGTGTGGCACCGAGCGGCACAGCAGACTCGAAGACTTGGAGACCAACCTTGGACCACTTTCCAACAGGCTCGAGGGTAACTCCACGGTTGATCAGGGCTTGCGCGAGGTCTCTGCGGTGAGTCCGCAGGCTGTTTGTGCGGATGACTACCGGGCGTGCTGTCTCGTTGGCCTCAAAGAAGGCAAATGCCTCCTTGGGCGGGAAGAGGTTGAACAGTTTCTCGGCCAGGAACTCAGAGTAACCGTAGTATGCGCAAACATCCTTGAGTAATTGCGCAGTGTACTCTGCTCTTGATCGGCCTTCCTCGGATAGGTTCGCAAAGTCGTCGAGAACGCGAACAGTGTCGTTGATGCGCGAACGTAACAATTGAAGATCTGGAGCAAGAAGAGCCTTGCTCTTCACCGCGGCATCGTCTCCGCTCTCTTCGTCCGAAAAGACCTTGGGCCTGTCACCGGCCAGGTTTGTCTGCATCGCGGCATCCTCCAATTCCTGCTGAGCATCAGCTGCCTCCGCTGCCATCTGCTCGTCCAACTTCCGAGACAACCCCGCAATATTAGCCGCCGTCAACTTCTCCTCTGCATCGCTTTCATCCTCGTCCTCCGAGAACATTGCCCTCGTCTTGTGGTCCTCCTCCGAGTCGTAGACCTCTGACCCCGAGTCCATAAACTCATCTGCATTGGCCAGCTCGGCCTCATCCCCGCTCAGGTCATCGAACTCGTCATTCAACAGATCTGATTCGTCGCTATCAGCGCCCTCCATATCGTCATCGCTGCCTGGAAGTGGCATTGGGCCCTTCTTTGCCTTGGGTGCAGGTTTCGATACAGCCTTGACAACGGGCTTCCCCTTCTTCACCTGTGTCGTCGTCTTTGTCTTCCTTGCCGGCTTATCGGAATGGCTTCCCTTCTTGGTCATATTGTGATCTTGCTCCTTCTTCGCAGACACCTTGACCCTCTTGCTCTCATCCCGCGCCTCCGTAACGCTTAAGCCAGCCTTCCTCTTCAGATTTGTGAAATGCGCCTCATCCAACTTGTCCGGCATTCCCTGCTTCTGCATACGTCTGGAGGGCCCCATGGTGACGGTTAATTGCACCTTCGGTGCTGTTGTGAGGGTGGGGTTTTGAAGTTGAGAATTCGCAGGTTATTGCGAAATTCCCTTATCTCCTCTTCCCTCGGAATATTTTTTGGCGAACAGAATTTTGTCCGCCCGATAAGTCACTAGCGTCGACACCTCATCGCCGAGGCTGCCGTACCATGGAGCTTCATCAATACAATCAATACAATGCCACCAAGCTTCCCCCCACACGTACTTTACGCCTCGACCCTTCTCAACCCTTATATTTTCTTATTTCCTATGGAATCTCGAATTCTCTCGCCATAAACCATTTTCTCCGAAACCGCAAACATGAGCGAACTTTCTTTCGCCAAATCGTTCCTCACGACCCTCTCAAGCCGCCCCTCCAAGATCTCACCAACACATGCTGAAGACCCCAAATCCTACCCACCCCGCGGCGCTGTACGTCCCCAAACTCCACACTCACCTCATCCTGCTAATAACTGCAGTACATCCTCCCGAAACTCCCCAAGACCCTCCCCAAACGCAGGAAGCTCGCCCCAGGTGCCCAGCGCACATTAACAATCACTTTACGCTCTGCGCGCAACCCTCCAATCGAAGTCGCCCTCAAGCAGCAGTCACCCCTTCTCTCAGTGCTTGACCTGAAAGCCGAAGTATCCGCGCAGGCAAATGTACCGGTAGATAAAATCAAGATTTTGCACCGGCGGAAGCCTGTCGGCGACGCCAAGGTCGTCGAGGAGCTGGTTGGCGAGGAGGATACCGAGATTGAGTTTGGAATTATGGTTATTGGAGGCGCGGCAAGTGTGGCAACGAAGACCAATGGTAAATCGGACGAGCAGTTGCCTAGTGCGGCGGTTGGGGAGAGTGGAAGGGAGGTATTTGGGACGGAGGCGTTCTGGACGGACCTGAGGGGTTTCCTGGCACAGAGGGTAAAGGACGCGGGAGATGGAGAACGGGCAGCCACACTGTTTCGAGAGGCTTGGGAGGCGAGGAATGGTGCGTCATAGGCATGAGAAAACATCGTCTAGATCAAGTGTTCAAAGCATACGTGTGACTACAAAGATCAAGTCATATACACCATGTTGAAATTGCATCCTCTGTTCTGCCGACCTGTCGTTCGACATCTACCATCCGAACTGCTCCTGCTATCGAGCGCGCGGGCAACACACAGCTATCTAACTAGCGACAAGTCCTCCCACCCTGTCCATTCTAACGTGGCTCAGATTCATGTTCTTCCTGTCTTAGTCGTGTAGTCTATGCGAGACCCTTGGAGACTTTGTTGAGCACGCTGGCGTACTCAATATCATCTTCATCGTTGGCTTGGAACTCGGCCGCGATGCCGTTCAGAGAGCGCTTGAGGGCGTCCTTGGACGAGGCGTAAACCATCTTGGGCTGCGTCGGCGTTAGTACTGTTACCATATCCAAGACGCCATTCGAGTATTACCTGGATCCCAGCATCATCAGGAGACCATGCAATGAAGGTAATCTTGCTTCTCGAGCCCTCGCCAGACGACAGGTCGTAGGCAAAGTCGTATACGGCGTATCGCGGGCCCTTGGTCAGAGCACCGCTCTTGGTCTTGGACTTGGCGTTGATAAGCTTCCCGCGGAAGTCATCCCAGTCGGCGTCTTCAGAGGTATCCTCAACCACGATCTCCTTGTTGTCATCGGAGAGCTTGTAGATGATGTACTTGATGCTCTTGCCGAGCTTGAGCTCGTTGAACTTGCTGACGCATTCTTGCGAAACTTGGACACTGCACAAACGTCTTGTCAGCGATGATTCCCAGGCTATACCTGCCACTGGCTTGTATCGCGTTGTAGCAAGCGTTTGTTGTTGTTGTTGATGTTGTTGTTGTTGATGTTGTTGTTGTTGATGTTGTTGTTGTTGATGTTGTTGTTGTTGTTGAATGTCGAACACTCAATCGGCCTACTGCGGGGCGGTGACAACGGGGGAACTGAGCTATACTGACCCTGATTGAGACTATGGCGATGAAGATTAGTATATCTATGATCATGCTGCTTGTGCGAAGGAGCTCGTACCATTTTGTTCTATATTGGACGCACAACAAAGGTTGGGGAGGCTGTCACAGAAGTCCGGGTCAGCATGAAGCTTGGTGCTGCGCAAGGCATCCGTTCGGAGGGGGGAAGAGAGTGATGACGACGATAGCATTGTGAGGGATTTCTGATATGGGAGAGAGACGTACAGAGTAGGGTAATCGTGTGGCGGATTAATAGGAAGGCAGGACGTCGTTACAGTTCCGCAGGTAAAGAGATATAAAAACCAGCGACGAGGGTGATATGTGCAAGTTTGTGTGAGGGATTGAGGGGGATTGTTGTCGACGACACACTGCCTACTTGCTACTTGCGACATGTTGGTGGGGTGATGCACGTGACTGCAACTCGCTTACCCGTCAGCGACCAAATAACATAATCGAAAACTGGGCAGGCAGCCAATTTCGAATTTCGGCGTCAGTTAATGGGAATCTTGTTTAACAAACTGGCTGAAGGCAGTCTACGAACACAGTACACAAATTTAGCTGTCTAGATTAGGCGTCAACCCCTTGATTCCACAGAGCAGGTTTCAGATGAGACACTCAGTGAAAGTCACATGACAATAACAGCCGGAGTCGAGACATTCATCAAGTGAGATATGTCAGATATTAGAAGTGTTACAGTGTTTTTATTCTTCTTTACAAGGTGGTTCTCGCTATCGTCGCATAGTATGCAACATGCACATCGCAAATCGTCCCATTCCCTCCCACGACCCCCTCCACAGCCCCGCCGTCTTCCCATCCATCAATTAGTTGAGTGGAGTCGATCAAAGCGCTTCGAAAGTCACCCTCTTGCTTTTATACACCAAAACATCCCCGGACGCTAATATGACACATAGTATTTTACAACGGGTTCGGACCCAGGTTCTTTCTCGTTTGCTTATCGTCCCTCTCTTACATCATTCCGCTGGAGATTTGTTAGCTTAGCCTTATCACATTGACAGAGTCACTTACCCCATGCCGCCCATGCCTCCCATGCCGCCACCCATGCCGCCCATTCCACCTGGTGGGCCAGACTTGTCCTCGCCCTCGACGATGGCGACCTCGGTCGTACCGAGCAGAGATGCGACTCCCGAGGCGTCAACCAGACCAGTGCGGACAACCTTGAAAGGATCCAAGATACCAGCCTCAATCATATCGACGTACTCCCCAGTCGCGGAGTTGAAGCCCTTGTTGAACTCGCCCTTGTACTCATCCATCAGCTTACCGACGATGACGGAGCCCTCAAGCCCGGCGTTCTCGACAATGGTGCGAGCCGGCTTGGTGATGGCGTTCTTGATGATGGAGACACCGAGCTGCTGGTCAAAGTTGGCGGGCTTGACGTTACCGAGCGCGTTGGCCGCAGCCTTGAGCAGTGCAGTTCCGCCACCTGGCAGGATGCCCAGCTCGACAGCCGCGCGGGTGGCATTCAGAGCGTCGACGTAACGGTCCTTCTTCTCGCCGACCTCGACCTCGGATGAGCCACCGACCTTGATGACAGCAACACCGCCAGAGAGCTTAGCGAGGCGCTCCTGCAGCTTCTCCTTCTCGTAGTCCGTGGTGGTTGGGTCGTTGACGACGCCGCGGATCTGCTCACAGCGCTGGCTAATGGAATCCTTGCTGCCATCACCGTTGAGGATGATGGTGTCCTCCTTGGTGATGGTGATGGAACCGGTGGAGCCGAGCATGTCGGCTGTCGCCTTCTCGAGCTTGATGTCAAGCTCATCGGTGAAGACGGTGGCGTTGGTGAGGATACCAATGTCGCCGAGGATGTTCTTGCGGTTATCTCCGAAACCAGGCGCCTTGACGGCGGCAACCTGAAGTTGGCCGCGGAGCTTGTTGAGGATGCAGACGGCAAGGGCCTCGCCGTCAATGTCCTCGGCAATAATGACAAGCGGCCTGCGGAGTTGGGTAGAAGCCTCAAGGGCTGGGATGATGTCCTGGACGGCGGAGATCTTCTTCTCGGACAGCAGGATCAATGGCTTCTCGAATTCGACCTTCTGGGACTTGGTGTCGGTGATGAAGTATGGGGAGACGAAACCACGGTCGAAGCGCATACCCTCGGTAACGGACAGCTCGTCCTCCATGGTCTTGCCCTCCTTGACGGTGATGACACCCTCCTTGCCGACCTTCTCCATTGCGCTCGCGATGAGGGCACCAATGTGCTGGTCGCCGTTGGCGGAGATGGTAGCAACTTGTGCGATCTCGGCGCTAGTGGTGACATCGCGCTTGTTTGCCTGGAGGTATTCGACGACGGCCTCGACGGCGGCTTGTGTTCCCCTGCGGAGATCCATCGGGTTGCATCCAGCAGCAACGTTCTTGACGGTCTCGGAAAAGATGGCCCTTGCGAGAACGGTGGCAGATGTGGTTCCGTCACCCGCTGTCTCGTTGGTCTTCGACGCGACGTCTTGGAGCAGGCGGGCGCCGAGGTTCTCGAACTTGTCCTGGAGAGTGATGGCCCTCGCAACGGTGACACCATCTACCTGTCGTTAGCAGTTGTTCGGGATACGTTTGGCGGTGGATATCATACCCTTGGTGATCTTTGGAGATCCGTAGCTCGACTCGATCAGGACATTACGACCCTTCGGTCCGAGAGTGGTAGCCACGGCCTTGGCCAAAGTCTCAACGCCGGTCAAAAGGGATGCGCGGGCATCGACACCGAACTTGAGCTCCTGGGATGGAATTAGACTTGCCCACATGGAATCCATAGCTTCAGAACATACCTTGTGTGCAAATCGAAGCTGCTGGGTGTTGACACTGGCCGCTGGACGCAATTTCGACACAGCTGATGCCGAGAGGACCGAAGCCCGAGCCCTTTGTGTTAATGCGCGCTGCATTATGAGATGAGGATGAAGAAAAAGGGACACAAGGGCGCTATTTTACAATTGAAGGATATTAAAGATTCGACTTTGGAGGGAAGATGAGCAGAAGACGATCCCGTTGTTTATGAAGAGACTCGGGAATCTGGAGAAAGTTTCCAGTCGCTTCTTCCGTCGTGAACCGAATGGCGCTAGTGCGTTATGGGAATAGCGTGGCAGCTGAAGGAGAAACCCAGAACCGCAGGGATTGTCAGGAGAGGAGAGCGAGTGCCGTCGGTACGGTGGACCAGAGAGACCATAGTAGCTGTTTATGTTTTACCTATTCTGCCATCATGCAACTGGGACCACAGAATAGGTAAATCAACCTCGTCGACGGCGGCAAGCATGGAATCGGCATGCGTTTCCGCTTCTCTACTACTTCAAAGGTAGGATTAGATGTTGAAGTCAACCATAAAATTCCTGGTGAAAGGTTCATACGATGCCTTCATGGGAGATTTACGTCAGTCTCAGGCCAGGCAATAGTTTGCACGTCTCATTTTTGTCATATATGTCTTGATTTGAATGGGCTGTCTATCTAAACCACTGCAAGTTCAGAACATCCCCATACCCCCGAGGCCTACGACCATTGCTCTGAGCCTCCGGTGTTTGACAATGCCGCATCAATCAAAAAATCAAGAACTCTTTGAAGGCAGCGCTGGAGTCTGAAGGTGAACTGTGATTGTAGTGATCTCAGTAAAGACCTAGCAGCTCCTGAATACCCCCAGGTCATCAGTGTGAGGTTCTCTACACTGTTCTTTGAAGTTTCATCGCATGCCAAACAGAGCGCATCCAATCTCATTATGGTCGCAAGGCGATGCGGCAAGGAAACACGGGCACTCGCATATATACCCATCAATTGGTTCACGAAGAAAAGACACTTGCTTGTTTTTCCTTTTTTTTTTCCTTTTAGCAAGACGTACGATGACGACGCATTCAGTTCGTGGGCATTGTTTGGCCCCCAAATGTTTGGATGCGACTCCCTGCGTGAAAGGTTGCAATCTACCTTTGTACTAGAAGTAGTCTGCCAATGGATCCAAGGGCCCAAAGCCGCCATCCAAGGAGGCATCTCCACTTCTGGCGTAGTCAAATGAGAAGAACTCATCATCTGGCGCTGGCGCTAAGGTGGCGTCTAACCCCGAAAATCCTGCTGGAACAGGGTCTGGATTGATATTTCCACTTGAGTTAGATTTCATTCCTTTCATCTTTTCATACTGAGCTGTATCGATCAAGCCGTTTTCAATGAAGTTCTTGGTATTGTAGTACGCGGCCTTTCCCTGAGTTCCATCTGAGTGCACTGGTTGGAAATCGAAGTCACCAAAGCGGATTTGAGAATCACCAAAGCCGACTTGAGGGGAATCACCAAAGCTGACTTGAGGGCCTCCAAAGCCCGAGAAAGAGCCAAAGCCATTGGAAGTGAGCTGGTTTGGTGCTTGGGTCTGTCCGTATTGAGACATCTGAGTCTGATAGTGTAACTGTGCAGGGGATAGATTTTGCATCATCCCAGCTCCCTTGAGTGCATTCATTTGCTCCAGATGGATCTCCCAGAGATCTTTATTGATCAATTGTCCGTTATTGTCGGTGTTCCGGTTTATGGCACCAAGAAGATCCTGCAGGTTGAAGTGTTGCTCATCCATCGAGCCATCTTGTCCGACTCCGTCTACGCCATCATCAAATTGGATATCTGGGTTGTCTTCAAAAAGGACGGCGGCTTTATCATCTGCATCATCTGCATTGACAACGTATTCGCTTCCATGGCATGGGACGGCAGGACCCTCAGCGACCTCGTCGTCAGCATAATCATCGTCCCCAGGGCCCTGGATGCCAGGCGGAAACTTGCTGAGAGCACCAGGAGTAAACCCACGGACAATAACAATGGACCTGAGGGGTCTAACCTCCTCGTCTTTGTCAAATGCCATCATCATCAGTCGATTGCTGGTGGGACTCTCGTCGTCCTTGCTCTCATTGGACTCGGCCGTTTTGGTAGCGCTGGAATCCGAATCTTCGTCAGGCGGTGTCCTATCACAGCTCTTGGGTCTACCTCTAGGGCTCCTGTATCGACCAGCACCAGGCTCCTTCTTTGGTACACGCTTGCTGCTACCTGCGCCAGCTGTGGTGCCCTCATAGTCAGTGTCATCGGCCTGCGTCGCCCTCCCCTTGGCGGAAATCTTCTTTGGACTTGGACGAGCAACTGGCCTGGGCTTTTTTTTTGAAGAGTCAGTGATGACGGTAGCCTTACGCTTTTTCGGTGTGCAGGGTACGACAGCACCATCATCTGATACTGCCTCCATCTCTTCCTCCTCATCCTCGTCTGAGAGCAACTCATCATCATCCATTGGGACTGGACCAGAAATGGGAGAAAGATTCAACGCTTTATGGGCATGCGTTGATTTCAGGTACTCCTTCTCTGCGCCCGGGCTGATCCACAGACGTTCGGGGTATTGAAGGCCCTTATTTTGAGCATCGACGTGGCCCTTGTTGATATCCTTGGGGTCTATGAGTTTGGATGCATCCTCTTTCCAAAGAACGAATCGGCCCTTGTCAATTCCCGGGGCGAGACGAACAACGCCTCGGACGTCTGGTCGAGTGTTCTGTGGGGTCTTGCCAAGAATAGGTGGCACCCACGAACCCCTATTCAAGCACTCGATGCGAAGCTTCGCGAATCGCTCCTTGATAGCGCCACCTGTGGCATTTTTTTCCGGGAACATGCGTTGAGCAATAGCCTCATACGGAAGCTCTTCCTTGTTCCGGGCCAATTCGTGGTGGAGACAAAGCAACAACAGCTGGTCCGCTTGGGCTAGTTCGAGGCGTGTTAGCTTCGGATACACTTGCATTGTTCGGGCGCGAGTCTTACCGGTCCAGCGAATGAGCCTCCGACCTTTCCTACGTCCGTTTCCGCCACTCTGGGTCGCCTTTCCTCGGTACGCAGCAGCGCGAGGATCGAATTCCTCCTCTGCATCGACCATAGCTTGGCTAGTCGTGAATTTTATTGCGTCTCTTCTGAGGTGTTTCTTATAGATCATCTTTTTGGCAGGCTTCACTGCACCCTTCCTACGTTGTGTGCTGGAAGGGGAGTTTCCTTCAGTGCTATCGCCATCGATCTCATCATCGCTTGGCTCATAAGAAGGTTCACCGTCCTCGACACCGTCATCTTCGCTGCTTTTGGCGGGGAGTTTTTGGGGCAATCTAGAAGTAGGGCGTCCAACAGCCACCTTTGCGGCTGAGTTCCTGCGGCGAGCAATCGTATTCTTTGCTTCGGAACCAGTGGCGCATTTGGTCCCGACCTTGGGTTTTTTTACTAGAGCCATGGCAATTGTTTCGAGTTTACGGTACTCGAAAAATGACTTGTTGATTGGGGTCTGGAGCAATAGGCTTGAAAGCTGGTGTCAAAGTCAGCTGTATCATCCACGACGCTGACAGGAAAACCAGGTGAATTGGAATCTCGATATCGGATGGGGCTCCTAGGACCTCACCTAGATGTGGAATGTTTATCCAGCGAAAAGCATATACGAATAGTAACCTTTGATGATCAGCTATTGGTGAAGGTGAAATGGATGTGAAGGAAGAAGCCCAAGTCAAACGAAGTGGTAATGTTGTAGGCAAGGTGGAAGGTGAAGTGGGCACCAGATCGAGGCCAGCCTCAGAACCGGAAGCAAAGAGCAAGAATCCAGACGAAGTGACAGCAGGATTGGTGATGACAAGAACTCGATCTACGTACCTAATTGAGCCGTACTAGAGGGACTCTAGATACCCGTTGCAATTGTTGTTTGGTTGCTGTTGTGGCAGCATTGAAGAAAGGAGACAATGTTTACAAATGGGTCGTTGGTTAACTGCGAAGACGCGTCGTGGTCGCCGGTCTTCGCGAACGCAATTAAGCATGTGAGGTGCTATTGTACATTATTGTCTTTACAGACACTCTCGCACCCCAAAAGACTCTTACGTTGAAATTTCTCACACCTACCCCAAAAAGTTAAGCTGCGACCAAGTTGTTCATGGTCGAGAATAGAGTCTGCATATCTTTGTGGGTATCCACGGCAACTACGAATGGCAATTATCACTTTTAAATCTTCACAAATGTTTACTACGTGGAAACAGATTAGAAGCGTCGGATTAATATCTGTAACGGTCACTATCTGCAGTTCACAAACGCACATATCTTCCCCTCATGTGCAAAAGTATGCTTCGCCTCAAACTATTAAATCATAGAAAAACTTGCTTTGGATGGGAAATTCTGTGAGCCACAACTCGGCAGCCGATCATCTTTCCAACCCCTCAATCTTCTTGGAGGTCTTGGACTTCATAGAACTGCTCGGACTTGATGACGAGAAGCTCCTCATCCTGGCTGTTCTCCGCCTTGAAGTTGTCGCTTGCCGCCGGCTCCTCGTCGTCGTCAACGTTCATGCTCTCATCGAACGCGGCGGCCTTGCCCTTTGCTTTCTTGGTAGGGGATGGTCCTGCATTGCGCTCGGTCTTTGGTTGGCGAGCGGTTGGAGCCCTTCCGGGACCTCCGTTGGGGTGTATCCCATGAGCGCGCATCATACGCTCATATCGCTTTGCGCTGTGTCCGGTTGTAAGTAAAACTCATCAAGGTCGCCATCGAATATGACTAGGTGACTGGGAATGGAGGTTGTCTTACGCAGCACCTTTACTCACCACCTGGCACTCTTTGGCAACTTCCGTGAAATCAACCTGTGGAAATGGTCAGCAATGAGCTTCCAGTGGCACCAAATGAGTTTAGTACCTTGCCATTGTTTGACCAACGGATACAGGAGATCAGGAAGCGGAACTGCTCTTCGTTTGTAGCTGGTGGCATTTTGATGATATCCGTGGATGACGTGCAACTGAGCTCTGGATAGTAGGAGGAGGTGTGTGGATGCGACGGAAGAAAGTATTTGACTGGATCACGACTGAAGCAGGTGTGTCGGTGTGAAGGAAGAAAGTGCTTGTGGATGCTTAAAGTCCGAAATATATGTTGCTCCCCACTGAAGAATTAGCCTGTGCTTGGCAGATATATTTGGTTTTAAGTATGAAAGCAGGACCTGCACCGACTTTGGCCAAATGCTACGAATCTTGAAAACGAGCACAGAGTTTGTGGCAAAGTCTGAGATGCCACTGTTGTATATATCGGCCTCCAACAACGTCGGGAGCAACAAACTCCAATGTGAGGATATGTGAACTCCCGCACCTACGTTTACGCTTTGGATATATGTTCAATCAGGCGTAAACAGGTTCGTGAGAGCTCGGATGCACCGCATGCAATAATACCAGCAAACATTCAACTAGCCAGCGTGGCTGCGGCACAACTTTCAACCAGTTTCTTTCAGATATGTGCATTACATGTGATGTCAAAGACCGTTATGCGGCGTATGGAATGGTGCATTATGAAGCCGTTCCCACGGCCGCACAGTAGAAACGTCACACGTCTGCTTTGAGAAGGCATATGTGGACCAGATTTGATGCTTCAATCTATCCTTCCATATTAAACATTTTGGTATTACTATAAAGTGAAGTTATATCACAGTTACGAACTGAGCTGCCACTGCTATCACTTCGCAGTTTTAAATGGGTTAATTCTATAAGATTTATGGTTGGGTTGGATTGGCAAACTGCATTTGGTTGGATAATGAATCCCAAACATGTCCGGCATTCATTGGTGTTCGCCATCAGACCAGATACCAGCATTTCCTCCCCATATCTTCATAAAACTGCATGGACTTGCCTTATTTTGAAGACTATTCTTGAAACACAAGTACAATCACATTCAATCATTATAGCAAGACCATTGGAAGATCAAATCTTATTAAATCCCACTTATGAGGGGAAAACATTAGGCCTCGAATATCCATCCGATATGACTCCGCCTGGTGCAACTTCTCGGCTCCCGTACGTCCAGTCCCTTGGGGAGGTGATGTTGCATCAAAGAAATAGAAACTGCCGCTTAACTCGAAAGTCAACGCCCAGGCCGCTGGCCAGAAGGCGCTTGAAAAGATCAGACAATGTCGTGGTTGCCGTGGACCATAACTGCCATACTGTCTTGGTCGCCGTCATTCTCTTCATCATCAGGGTTACCAAAGACCATCTTCTCCATTTCATCCGTGTCTATGGCCGACTGACGGTCCCCGTCGACATTGTCGTCGGAAAGTCTCTGAACGAGGGTTTCCTCGCGCTTGGCAATCTTGTATGGGGCTTTGCGAGCTGCGTTCTTCTTGGGGGTACGCTTGACAGGGGAAGCTTGGGTGCCAATGGCGGCATCGTTGTTGCCGTCGACGAGATCACCCACTCTGGCAGCAGCTTTGGACGTGCTGGTAGCGAGGGGCAAGCCGTACTTCTTCTTCATGACAGCGATGCGGTTTGCGACAGACTTGGGGTTGGTCATGCTGCGCTTCTTGGCGACCGCGCTGCAATCAATCTGAGCGAAATGTTAGTATATGGCAGCGTTGTGAATGTTCGGTCTCAATACAGCACTTGATATGACAAGCTCAGTGTTTGGATAAAGGGGTTTCAGGGCTGCTTACCTGGACTTGGCCACCCGTATTGTTCTGGAGGCAATCGATCAAGAACAGGACATCATCGGCGCGCATGCCGGAACCGGTGGTGTCAGCAACACCTTCAGCAACAGTGTCAAGCTTCTGGTTCAAGTCAGTCATTGCCGTTAAATTTCCGTTCATGATGTCGCGTACCTTGGGTGGCATCTTGGCGATGTTCTTGTTTCTGAAGAAAATTGAAGTCAAGCTGTAGCTGCCTTAGTATAGTTTTAGATGAGGTTGAAGAAACCAGGTGGGTCAAGATTCAAATCGAATGATTGCCACCAGCTTCCTTTGGGTTTTGCACATACCTGGTGCTTATGTTTCCTTTTCGGAGCGATTTAACAAGAGCAAGTGTCGTAGAGGCACCGATTGTTGTGTTTTTTGTTTGGTGTTGTTGGTGATGAAAGAATTAAGGTCTGTAAAGAAGCCAACCTGGGTATTTATATTGGGGGGCTCCGTGGCAACCGGGGATTTTGCGGCTGCACTCGGTGCTTCGAGCGGCTTCACCCTTTCATACATTCGTTTGGGGATATTCCGAGTCATCTACGCCTTCCTTGGATCATCTAGAGTTCACTTTCACTTTCCTTCTATCAAGACCAGTCTCCTCGGTTCCCCAAAGGAGAGGATCCATATCATTCTCATGTATTTCCAATCTGGCCCACTGGTATGCAATCACCTGTTTTATCCTATTTTCCCTTTAAATTATAAATAGGGGTGCTCTCACTGTCATATACACTGAGTCTCAGTTTCTGACCTCCAATCACCTACTTTCGTTGCCTTGGGCGAAGCTAGGAACTGAACTACGGCCGCAGTATTATCACGGGCGGCATGATTCTGCAGACGTCCCAGTGCTTACCCTCGGTATTTTAAAGACAGAGAAAATAGAACAGGTAGGGTAGGGCGGTGTGGGGTGGCCGCAGAGAACGATGGAGAATCGTAATTGTGATATAAAAACATATTTTGACAATTTCTTTCTCCAGCAACATGCACCAGAGGAAACCCCATTTATAAACTATTAAAGTCTTTTCGGGTGCTCCGCTCTGCAAATAGAAGACTCCATGAGTTTGTGACTCTCGTCTTATATAATATCGAGTTCTACATTGACAGCATTCTTTCGTTTCGATTGTTTGCGTTTCTGTCCTCACACGAAATCTACAGCGTTTCAAATGAGGCAATATAATAAATATGGGCTTTAGATGTGTCACAAGGGAAGGGACTGCAGTTATCAAAAAACGCGGTTTCATTCCTAGCTTGAAAACTGCCATGCGCCCCTCCCTTCTCACTCCATCCAGTCCATGTCATGCCGCAGAGTATATATTCAGAACGAAAAGAAACATTTGCAAATTGCCCATCCCTCCATTATGTAGGTTTCCGGACCCACGTTCAGATGCACTGTAAATGTGTAAACCTGTAATCTGAGTGGTTTTCACGTCAGCGTATGCTCGATAGAATTCAGGAAATGTGGAAATAGACAACGTACAAAATGGGCAGAATTTGCTGTCAGAAGCACCGAAACCCAAGCGTCGCGGCAAAAACAGTCAGATGGGAATGAAACCTCCACTGTTCTCCCAGGCTCTGGCTTGTAAATCGGATTCCCGCAAGCCTTCAGGCACAGTCGTTAGCAGAAGCGTACTCTTCCTCAACCGCCGTATCCGCATCCTCATCGACGTCTTCAGTCTTGATGACCTCATGCTCTTGCTTGTAGCCATTTCCATACTCCTCCTTGTGGCCATTGGCATCATCCTCCTGCTTGTGGCCATTGGAAACATCATCCACAGCCTGAGCCAAGGCCTCCTGCTGCTTCTTCGTCAGGGCCTTTGGCTTACGGGCTCTGGGCTTGGCGGGCTTCTTCTCAACCTTGGTGGGGCTTTTGATTGGGCTGGTCTTTAAGCCTATGGTGCGGACTGACCAGCCGAGGGCTTTCTTGACCTGGCCGAAGCGGACACGGGCTGTGGCGGCGTTGTTGTAGCCTGCCTCGCTGGCCACGGCGTCCCAGTCGATCTACGGGGTTGTTAGTAAAACTGTATGCTTTTGTTTGTCATCTCAAGAAGACGAGAAGTTTTTTCGGGCCACTCTTGGAGGGATAATTGCTAGGGGTGAATTTATGATAATTCTCAATAGAAGGGTCCCGAGGAGTGACAGTGAAACCAAAACAAAGCCAATGGCTGTATAGAAAGAAAGCTTACGTTGGTGACTCCATCACTGTTTTTGACAATGGCCACGAGGAAGTTGCACTCCAGTGGGGTTGGGACGCGGGTGGCGCCAGGCTGAGCCGGAGAGGATGGTGGTTGTCCAGACATCTTGACGGTTGGATGCAAAGATCGAAGCTGACTGTTGAACTTGTGTTGATTGTGGTGGATGTTGAGACTTTTGCGGGGGTTGGCGGCCTGAAAATGTAAAGTGATAGGTGTTGTCAAGTAGGTTGTTTGGTGAGCAAAGTTCGAGGTGAAATTGTGAGACTGTGATTATTGCAGTGGTGATGTGAAGGCCGCCAGCTTGACGTTCCACTTGCAGATGCTCCAAGTAGATATCTTTGACAGACCCTGAAGTAATCACTAGTCTGCCTTTGAAAAAAGTGCAAGTATAACTCAAAGGTGGAATTCAACCAAGCGTGGTTCATGTGAACCAAACCGGCTGAGGCTCATTACTCTATGTGAGAAGATAGAAATACAACTTACTTTTTGGTATTGGCTGCTTTGATTTGCAAAGTATAAAGCCCTGTAATGACAAAAGGCCAAAGCAAGGGCAAGTGGATGGATGTTTGCGGAGCAGATTATGGATGTAATGTTTGTAAACAGTTGTGGCGTGGAAGGTTCAATTTATAGGCCTCGAAGCGAAGAGGTCCGGTAGAAGGGCGGTAAGAAAATGTAAGTTTCTCCTGCAGCTTCTCCTGCAATTTGTATGGTTTGGATTCGGGAAGTCCAGAGCACTCGAGCTGTGTTTGTATAGTTGGTATTTTGGAAATCGAAAGTAGAGCGGCTGATTGGTAGACAATGGCGATTCTTTCCGGATCGATATTCGATATATACTGGAGAAGCCTTTCGAGTCTTCCCGTGCTACGTAGTTTGTTCCGTGTTGTCTCGAGGACTATTAAGACCAGAAGACAACAGTTTTCCGAATAAATATAATTTAAATTCACCAATAATAATATAACTGTTAGTAAGCCTGGTCTTATTTTCTTTCACAATCTGAGCCAAAATGAGAACACATCTCCGAGTGCGGATTACCATTTTCATATCAACACCCGAGAAAATAAGAGTGGCAACATATTCCAATTTCCAAGCCCTCCCTTGCATCCATCTAATCTAATTCCCATCATTATTTCCAAATCCAAAACGATCTATGCTATGGTATCCGTGACGACAAAAAAAAGCTCAAACACACACAAAATACCTACAAGCTCACCCTACCTTCGTCATCCATGCAAGAACTCCAACACGAACCCATATTATCCATCCATCCCATCCGACTTCGCCAACGTCAGCATTTTATCAATCCCGCCCGCCGATTCATTATTCATCTCGCTCCGCCCAACCATCAACAAAACGACGTATCCCACTGAAGCTCGCCCTTCACCAGCCTCCCCTGCGCATCCAGCAGCGTCTGCTGCTGCTGTGGCTGAGGCGACACGAACATAAACGGATCATAGAATGCGCTCGTCGACGCCATCCCCATATCCTGCGACCCCACGCCCTCCATAGACTGCATGAACATGCTGCCCTGGGAGGACATCATCTCGTGCGCGGAGAAGGTGAAGCTAGAGGCGGGCGAGAAGTTGACCGAGGGCCGGCGTGGCTGTGGTAAGAGCTGGTGGTAGAGCGATTCCTGAAGGTGCGTGGGAGTTGTGAGTGGGTGTGATGGCGTCGGGATGGTCGAGTTCGGCGGCGAGTGAGAGGGTGTGGCACTCACGTGCGCGGTCTGCTTTGGGATTTCGCTCTCGTGGACATCCTCGCCCGGTGCATCCTCATCCCCAAGCATGACGTCGTCCGCCGGCTCGGGCTTGACTGCCGGCGACCTAACCGGAGCTTGGTCCGCGGGCCCCCCCGAGGTGGGAGCCGAATCGGCCGTGGCACCCTCTTCGAGCTTCAGTTTCAGCAGGGCCTTCTCGCCGCCGTCCTCCTCCTTCTTCTCGTCCTTGGTCTTGACGCGCTTGGCTTTTGGGGCGCGAGATTTGTCGCGGGGCGCGCGGGCCTTGGGGACTGTGCCTTCCATCTGATTCTTGAAGCGGGCAAAGCGCATGCGGGCCGCGTGGCCGTTAGTGATTTCCATGTCGCTAGCGACGAGGTTCCAGTCGACCTGGAGATGTGTTAGCCTGTGTCTCTTTGCGCGGTGTGTGGAGAGGGAGTGGCGCAAAGACTTACACTGCGCACATCGAGCTGCTTGACAATGTAGTACATGAACTTTGCCATCTGTGCCTCACTCGGCATGGTGGAACGTCGTAGGGATGCCAGGGTGATGGATTTGGGTTGGACACAAGGGGTGGTGGGGGTGGTGGGGGTGGTGTCGCGCAAAGCCTTGATGGAGAGTATGCAAAGTTCTGCGGCGGTGGGCGGCTGTTCGGGTGGTGCAGAGTTTGAGGAAGTTCAGGAAAGTGGGAATGTCATTGGGTGAGGGAGGTCACGACGGGCTGGGAGAAGGCGCTGTTGATATGTGAAAGATGGTGAAAGGGAGAGCGTGGCGAGGGTTTGCTGGCACGGCGCAGGGCAAGCATGGTGGGTTGTTGGGTGGGGGATCCGTCTCTCGTTCACGATGGCATGTCTAGCTGGGCGGCATGGGGCGGGCAGAGATCGGCAGGGTTCGGCAGGGGTTTGGGGGGAGGGAAGGGAGGGGAAGGGAGGGAAGGGAGGGGAAGGGAGGGAAGGGAGGGAAGGGACCCGCGGGGACGTCCCGGGATCGAAGCAGATGAGGGGCCAGGGAGCGGACCGATGCATGAATGAAGATTGGCGAATGGCGAATGGCGAATGGGGAGCATCGGGTGGTTGCAGAAGGGTTTGGCGTGGGGGTGAAAGGACGGGGTTGGAGGGTAAAAGAACGGGGTTTTGGGAGGGTGAAGAAAGGGGAAGGGGGGTGTTCGTTCAGTATAGAGAAGGGAGGGGCATGGAGATGGGGATGGAGACAAGCGCGCTAAGCGACATGGGGGTGTCGGTGCCGCCCAACTTGGTAACTTGCATGTTTTCTCCCAGCCGCATGATTTCGTTTCCCCCTTTCTCCTTTCTTCTCCGGCTGGGATTTCTCCAGGCAATTTCCCGAATTTAATGCGCAAAGATAGCTGTCACTATTTGATGGGGATCCGTGATGGCTGGCGTGGTCTAATATAGTTCAGCCGGATATCCCGCCCGTTCCCCGTGGCTGGGACGATGGGGCTGTTCCCTGTCACTTAATGTCCATCCATGTCCACACCGCCATTGGCTCAGTGGCGGCCGGCGGCGGTCAGAGGCTTTCGGCGGATGCTTCCTTGTTAATATCACTTTCCGACGCGTCCCTTCACATCTGCACGCACTTTACCAAGTACCTTTTGTTCGTCCCAGATACCCTTTACCAGCCTCCACGTTCTTCTTTATCAGCCTCCACGCAAAACATCAAAGCCGCTGCAGTTGGCCTCGCTGCGTTACTCTCCCTCGTACAATCATCATCATCATCATGCCTTCTGCCTGGACTCCTGCCGCTGACCGCGACCTTTTGCTCGCCATCATCGACGAGAACAAGCTTCAGGGCCTGGATTGGCACGTTATCGCCGCAAAGATGGCTACCAAGAGCTATTCTTTCTCTCACGAGGGCTGCCGGTATGCCATTTGTCTTTCCTTCATCTGTTCTCCGCATAACTTCACAACTTTTGTATGCCGTTTCACTACAACTACACGTCTACTAGCGCTGTAGCCCGATATGAGATCGACTTTCCTCACAGCTTCATCTTCATCAGCGGCCTACCTTTCTTTTATGCAAAATAAAATTAGCGGTTCTGCTTTACGGAAACTCTCTGTTTTATCACTGTTCTCTCTTCGCGTTTGATCTCTCCAGCCCCACACGCTGCTATCATCCCGCCGCCTCCCACCCAGTCCCCACAGTTAGTCCATGAAGTTATTATCCCGCACTCCACATTACAGCCAACTAACACCATCCAGCCAACACTTTCAGAAGCTCCGCAAAGCCTCCAATACTGGCGCCAACGGCAGCGTCCCAAGCACTCCCAGAACCCCCAAAACCCCCAAAACCCCCAAGACGCCTGCCTCGCGCAAGCCCAAGCAGTTGGACAACATTGTCGATGACGAGGAGGTAGAGGACTTCGCCACGCCGAGCAAGAAGAGAAAGCGTGACGTGATTAGGGAGGACCAGGAGAATGACAATGTCAAGGAGATCAATGGCATTGCGTTCGGTGGGCAGACTGCCGCGCAGTTCAAGATGGAGTCGCTGAGTGGTGAGGAGGAGTTTGCGGATCTGGAGGAAGAGTGAGTTTTTCCTTTTTACTACATTTGAGTGTATGGGTTACGATGAGAACTAACGACGTCTAGTCTTTACGCCTGATCGGTTTCATTTCACGGTCTGGCACAATGCCTTTCGCTGTTACGGACCACGATTTTAATTCCCTTTACCAATGATGGGTATTCTCTCGCCAGTGGCCACGAGCCTCTGCCAGATGAAAAGCTGGAGGGTGGGGTTTATATTGGCCATACACTCTGGATGGTGTTTATGGATGGATGGAGGGAGTTGATATACCAGGCCTGGAAAATCGATATACTGCTAAATGATGATGGATGGGAAAGATGGTATATATCCGCGCGCGCGTTAAATGGAGATACAGTACATCAAACCTTCATTCACTCTCATGCTCTCGTGATTAATAGTATCATACAAACCAAAACCGACAATTTCTCATTTTCCCATAAAACCCCCCCTCACCACCATCCCATCCACCACCACAGCCAACCCCACCACCACAGCCAAAACCCCCCCCCTTTTTTACAACCGCCTCCACACCGCTCCCCCAATTTCCACCCCGCCCGTCAAACAAACCAAACCGCCACACGCACCGTCCCTCCCGCCACCACCGTAACCCGCTCCATCTCCTCCCACATATGTGTACCAGCACACCTGCGCCCATCCGTTCAGTGCGGTGTGCATCCCGATGCAGCAGGCCGGGCGGGGCGGGGTGGAGGGGTGGAGTTGGCAAGTTGCAGGGGTTGACCACAAAGCAAAGTCTCAGGCGCGGCGGGGCGGAAGGTTGTTCCGGGTGTGGGGGGGGGTACGGCGGGGCTAGGGGGCTAGGGGGCTAGGGGGCTAGGGTAGATTGCTGGGATTGGAGATCTTGAGGTTAGGGGGGAGGGAGCTGGGGCTGAGGGTGGGGAGTTGGGTAATTTGGGGTTTGGATTTGTCAAGTTGGCGAGGGTGAGTCTGATTATCGATCTATACACAGCGTGATATAGTTCGATATATTACTAGAGTGATGATAGCTCCGAAAAGCCGGAGATTTGATGCACCAACTACCTGGTTCAGCTGACCGGCATACACCCACCCACTCGTCGAAATCAAGCAGCAACATGACGACAATAGCCTCCACGAGATCAACCAACCAAGGCTGTATAACACGATTGGTCCTTCCGAACTAAAAAAACAACCCATATGCCCGTCCATCCCTCCCCATCCCACCTTGCCCAACACCTCAATCCCGCACGCACCCTGACCCGAAAAGCAAAGCCTGCCCTTGAAAAATCTCCAGAATCCACGTCCTCGGGAATCAGTCCTAAGGTTTCCTCCCGTCCAGCCTGCGCCCCACGCTCGGCTCCGGTTTCTTGGGTGCCTCCTCCTTGCTCGCCTCCTCCGTGTTGTCGCCCTTCCGCTTCGCGCCCCCGCGGAGCGTCTGTCCCTGCCCTGCGAACGCGGGTTGCATCGCGTCTGCGTTCTCCTTCTCGCGGTTCTCCTCTGTCTTGAGCGGCTTGATGTCGTATCCGAAGAACAGCTTATTCGTCGGTAAGCGGAGCGGTTGCGGCCCGCTCGACCTCGCGATCGCTGCGGCGGCCTTGGGGGCGTTCGTCGATGCCCCAGCGACGGGTGTTGATGGTTTTGGTGTCGGGGCTTTCCCTCCCTTCTTCGCATTTAGCTTCTGTCCGCTGAGGAGGAAGTTGGAGGACACGGCTTTGGCGCCTGATGTGGCGGCGGTGGAGTTGGGTGAGATGGCGTCGTAGTTTATTGACTGCGCCATTGTGCCTTGGTTGTGCAGGAGGCCTCCGGCGGGTAGACTGCCGCCTTTGGTGCTGTGGGGTGTGCTGGTGCCGCTGCCCTTTGTGCGCTCGGGCTCGACGTAGCCGACTGGGGCGGCGAAGTCGACTTCGACGTCTGTTTCGATCATGCTGACGCCCATTTTGTCGCTCTCGGGCTTGACTTCTAAGACGGCGACGTCGTACACGGTGTCGTTGTAGTGGAAGCTGAAGATGTCGCCCTTGGTGAGTGTGGAGAAGTTTCGGAAGGCGTTCTCGAGGACGGCCTTGGGGTCGCTGATGTCGAGGAAGGTGGGGGATTGCGGTTGTAGCTTGACGAGCTTGGCATCTGCGAGGTTTGTGGATTTGATCTGGATTAGGTCTCCGACTTCGAGATGTAGCGTGTTCATCATCTATTGGGGGTCAGTAAAGCAGCAGATCGTGGGAGTGGGGTAGGGATGCTCACCCATTGTGGTAGGTACACTTTCCCCTCCTCTGCCACAAACTCCAGTACTCCAGCATGTGTTTGTGCCTTCTTCGGCTTATTGATGAGCTCAAATAGCATCGGATATGTAATATGCAACCTCGTGAGTTTGTCCAGTGCCGACGGTGGCATGATGATCTTCCCTCCGTAGTTTAAGTAGTCGCGACTTGGCCCGGACATCATGACGGTAGGATAGCAGCGATAGTACTCATCGAAGCGCCGCGCAGGCGCTCCACGCATAGCTCCAGACTGAAGCATATTGTACATCTGTGCCGGGTCGTTGGCATCGAAGAAGTCGGGGTTGAACTATGAATGTCAGGTCGAATCCAGCAGCGAAAGAATCGGACCTGCGGGGTGGGGTGACTGAAGAAGCTTACCATCGTAGAAGGTTGTAGAGAGTAGGTTCGGTATTATATAAGCTGTATAAGCTGTACGTGTCCAGCAATTGAATATAAGAGAATGTGGATTCAAAGACGGCGTGGTGGTGAATCCCAGAGAAGATAATGGCAGGCAATGGGTGACTTGATGTGTCGTAGGCTACAGAGGTACAGCGGGATGACGTTTCGCAACTTTTGGGCCTAAAGAATTTAAGCTTTCGGCTCCAAGGTAGTAGCTCGGAGGCGAAAGTCGAACCCCAACACAGCGAAGGCGGCCTCGACCACAGCACAATCTCATGGGCCTCAACCTCGATCTACCATTATATGCCAATGTCCTCCAGTCGATTTAATGCTGCGCGCCCAAAGCGCGCCGGCGAAGAATACACCCGCTTCCAGCAGCCACAGACCGACGGCCCTTCCCCGAAGAAGCCTAAATTCGACCTCCGCAACCCGTCCGCATTAGCACCCGATGCGCCCGAGGACGATGCCGTCCTAGACGCTGATGTTATCGGTGGAGGCGCGCATACGAAGCGTAATGCCGTTAACATCGATGGTTACGACAGCGACTCAGAAAACGAGGGCTTCGATGCGCGTGCCGAGGAGCGCGGGAGGGGCAAGGGTGGCGACGTCAATCTATTCGAGCAGCTGGATAGCTACGAAAAAAATGGAAGCTCGAGAGCAGGCGCACATACAAAGGACGAAGATGATGAGGATGATGACATGTTCGGCGGGGAGGAGGATGAAGCTGGCGAGGGAGGTGCGGAGGGGGGAGATAATGTGAGGAAATCCAAGGGCGTGCGGTTCTTGGAAGAGGACGAGATCGAGGGCCAGGTGGACGCGAGCAAAAGTGGAGGTCATATATCCGGGAATTTTGCTTTGGACCCAAAAGGAAAGCTATCGACACATGCGATGGATGACAGGGAGAGCAGCGACGACGAGGACGATGCGGCTCTGGCTGCCGAGGAAGAGGGCGTGGACAAGGAGGTTGGCGCGGGTGGCCTCAAGAGGAACGCTCCCAGGGTAGATGCATTTAATATGAAGGCCGAACAAGAGGAGGGTCGCTTCGACTCGGCTGGGAACTACGTGAGGAAGGCTGGGGACCCAGACGCGGCTCATGATACATGGCTGGAGGGAGTGAGCAAGAAGGATATGAAACGGGCTGCCGAGGCGCACGAGAAACGCGAGGCAGAGAGGCGGCAGCAACGACTAGACGATGATGCTATGCTCACCTCCGACATACTACGGACGCTTATTTTACAACTGGAGAAGGGCGAGTCGGTGTTGGAGGCGCTGGCTAGGCTAGGAAAGGGCCAGACGAAGGTGAAGAAGATTCCCAAGTGGAAGCTCAAGAAGCAGAAGCAGGGCGACGATGGAATGGATGTCGACGCCGAGAAGCCAGCTGAAGACCCTGCTCAAGTAAAGATCAGGGATTCTATCAACAGTATCACGGGAGCCGCAGACCAGCTTCTTACACGTGGCCAAACAGACATTTACGAACAGGAACGCGAGATGCTCATTCGTCAGTATGGTAGAGAGACAGGAGACGTCTGGGTTGAGCCGTCGACAGAAGATACTGAAGAGCCGAGTGGGGCCAGGCCAACGAAGATGTGGGAGTATCGCTGGATCGATGGTCGCGATGGAGCTGCCAAGCAGGGACCATATGATGGCCCTACGATGGTCGCCTGGCAAGGCGCTGGATACTTTGGCGAAGGCGTGGAGTTTAGGCGCGCGGGCGAGGAGGGAGCTTGGAGTAGAGTGGTGGACTTTGTATGAAGCCACGCATTGAAGGGCTGCAAACCACGGCAATGGCAGGAATTAAGCAATTCCCCGATGTAACGACACGGGATATTTGATATGGCGATCAGCATACTGCAGGAGTGTGATGTGAGACTGCATTTCTGTGCGACTATTTCACTCCCGCAGAGAGGAATGGCCTGGGGAATGTGAAACCATACCACAGTGTACAGTACAATACAGTACAATATACGATGACGCCGTCGCCGTGTCATTAGATCAAATACTGGTTGTCACAGCCCGCACGGACTGTTGTAAAATGTATATGTCTTAAGCCGTGCCGCTTTGATATCTGACAGCTCAGTCGGTCAATAATTCAGAGTGCATGATTGTTGTTGTTGGTTCACATTCGGGACGGCAGCGTCATGCTAATTGGCTCTCTGGACCTCAGAGTCAGTTTGATGTCTCACAGGCGTTGTAGAGTGCTACACGATCGTCGATGACTGACATATACACATATCATACACGTATACAAAAACTGATTTTTTCCCCTCTTTTCATTATGTTCGCGTCGCGGATTGTATTACGGCAATCAACTGCCGCCGCTTCAGTTGTTTACTCTAGGGCGCTCTTTCCGTTTCTTCACACGCTTCTCTCCCTTTCTCATGCCAACAATCCCTTTGAATGATCAGCCTGCAATAAGCTACCATAAAAATGGATAAGATCCTGGAGAACGCCATGACTGGTGCAAACTACGAAACGCGTGAAAGGGTAGAGAAATTCCCTGGGAACTTCATAGCAGGTCCAAGCTATGAAACGCGTGAAAGGGTAGAGAAATTCCCTGGGAACTTCATAGCAGGTCCAAGCTATGAAACGCGTGAAAGGGTAGAGAAATCTCCCGAGAACTTCATGGCTGGTGTAAGCTTCGAAACGCACGAAGGAATGGACAAATCCCCTGAGAATACCACATCTGGCGCAAGCTATACAGCGCGCGACAGTATCTCTGAGTCTGACCGCATTGAAGTATATACTGGGAACAGTCGTGACCCTTTACCTCTACCTAGTCCAACAGACGCCACGTTGGCCGAAGACAGAGATAGAGTGTACCCTCCAATGAGCCAGGTTATTCTCATAATGGCGTCTCTCCTGGTATCGATGTTTCTCGTTGCTCTGGTAAGTCTCGCCGCCGTTCTCAACTGCTGTTCTCTGATGATAACTCTTTCCAGGATAGAATGATCATCGCCACTGCCATACCCAAGATTACAGACGAATTCCGCTCACTCAGTGACGTGGGCTGGTATGCCAGCGCCTTCATGCTTGCAGGATCTGCCCCCATCCTTCTCTTTGGCAAGATCTACACTTTCTACTCGCCCAAATGGCTCCTGCTGAGCGCCATGGGCCTGTTCGAAATCGGGAACCTGATATGTGGCGTCGCACCCAATTCAAATACATTGATCGTGGGACGCGCTGTTGCCGGGCTTGGAGCAGCTGGCATCTTTACTGGGTGTGTCGTGGGCGTACAGCACGTGCTCCCACTCCAGAAGCGTCCCATGGCGATGGGGCTTTTTGGTACCGTTTTCGCTATATCATCTATTATCGGGCCGTTGCTTGGTGGCGCCTTGACCGATGGAGTCAGTTGGCGTTGGTGTTTCTACGTGAATCTCCGTTCGTCCCCCCATATGAAGTTACCATGCCCCTGAAAAAAGCTTACCATTCACAGCAATTGGTGGCGTTGCCATGGCCGTTTTGGCAATTGTCCTGACGCTTCCCGCGCCCGCCGCGGCGGAAACAAGTTTCAAGAAGAAGTTATGGCAGCTTGATCCAGTGGGCACGATCTGTTTCATCCCTGGAATTTGCTGCATCTTGCTTGCCTTGCAATGGGGTGGAAATCAGTATCCGTGGAATGCTGGCGTGATCATCGCTCTCTTCGTCGTTGGTGCGCTCCTGATTATAGTATTCGTTTGCGTTCAAATCTGGCTCCAGGACGGGGCTACAGTACCTCCACGAATCATCAAGAAGCGCTCCGTTGCCTCTGGGTTCTGCTTTTCTCTTTGTGTTGGCGCGAGCCTGATTGTGTGCGTTCTCTACCTCGCCATCTACTTTCAGTCTGTCAAGGGCGTCAGCGCCGTCCAGTCTGGCATTAACACCATCCCCCTCCTCTTCGCAACCTCATTTGGGGCGATAGTAGGGGGCGGTTCCGTGTCGCGCTTCGGATACTATGCTCCGTTCATGCTTGCTGGCCCACCCATCATGGCAGTTGGCGCTGGGCTACTTACTACCTTTCGCGTGAATACCCCCCCTAGCCAGTGGATCGGTTATCAAATCATATTTGGTTTTGGCTGCGGGATTTGCATGCAGCAGCCTAGTGTGGCAGCGCAGAGAGTATTATCACGAAAGGATATCGCGATCGGTTCGGCTTTAATGATGTTTGCACAGCAGCTGTCGGGGTCAGTCTTTGTCCCAATTGCACAGAGCATCTTTCAGAACCGGCTTGTACACACCTTGTCAGTTGTTCCGGGCGTGGACATCAAAGCGATCGTAGATGTTGGAGCAACAGATTTGAGGAGGATCGTGCCACCATCGCAGATGGATGGTGTTCTCAAAGCGTTTAATGATGCTCTAGTCGCCACTTTCTTTGTCGTCACGGTGGCATCCGGCTTGGCTCTTCTTCCAGCGCTGACTGTGGAGTGGCTGAGCGTGAAAGTAAAAAAGGACAGCGCAGATGGCGAGAAAATACCAATGGGAGATATGGGGGCATAGGCAGTGAGTATAGCTAAAAACAACATGGGCAGTATATAGTATAATGATGTCACGCAAACGAATATGAAGTAATACAATGGTCATTTCTCTCGTATTTGTGAATCGGCAGCTGCAGTCTCATGAGGGGTTACAGTATATAAATCACGGATGGATCTTGTAGCAGGGTCCATCCGAGCAATGCACGGCCTGTAAAATCTACGGAGGTTTTACCTCCGTAGATCCTCACGACTGTAGCGCTAATAGATGTTAGCTGCTTTGCTCCGCTAAAGCTACCCCTATGCCGGGCGCGTCCTTCGGCGAAAGGCGGCGGGCGCGGGCCCCGGATTGGCCGGCCGACCCCTACCGGACCCGCTTTCCGGCGAAGGGCGATGCTGGTCAAGGACACGGGCGTTCATTTGTACTACAGTATCCCCCCCTGAATGATTGTAAAGACCCGCTATTTTGAAGTTTGTGGAAACCCACTTATAGCGATCGGTTTTGGTAAAAAGGCGTAAATAAGATGAGATCACTGGCAGAGGGCTTTTGACAAAATAGTGGATGGTGACAATCATTCAGGGGGGGGGATAGTATAGGGATTCCTAATTTGCGCCGTAGTGCTAAATGCTGTAGTAGGCGCGTAAGGGTCTTCAAAAAAGTCGAAAAAAGTCGAAAAAAGTCGAAAAAAGTTGAAAATGCAAAGCAGGCCCTAATAGAGGCTAGCTTCCTAGTAAATGTGTTAAAAGTCGAAAATTCCAAACTTCATTAATTTATTATAAATTATGACTTGAATGGGTTGTTCGAAATTGTGTCGTCCTCCCCATCGTCCTCGTGTGGCCTATGCTTCCGCTTCCTACTAAGCTCCCGCCTCCTCTGCAGGTCCTGCTCCTGCTTCTCGACCCAGCGGATAGCGCTACTATGTACCATTAGGTCGAGGCTGTTGCGGACGCCGCTCCGCACCTCCTCAACGCCGTGGGACACGACCCGGCCAGCAAGGAACAGCACGTCCCCAGGCCGCTAAAGAGAATTCACTCCACAATAGATGTATATAGATCGAGCCACTGCTCGAGTGCTCCTCTTCTCTTTCCTTTCTTCTCTAGATTGAGTTTAATTCATAATACCCAACTGGCGCCCTATGCCTTGGTGAACCGTGACATAAAACTCAATCTCTCTTATACCTCTTTTCCTGCTCTTTGAGCTGAACCCTCTTCCGAATCGAAATCGAAATCCACTCTTTGAAAACCCCAGAACCAGAAACCTTATCCGGAAGTCGATTCCAGGACGATCTCGAGGCAACCCCTCAAAGTTGGCTTTCGACAGTCAGCTCGACACACACACACCACCTTCGCAAGTCAGACCTTTTACAATGCTCCCTCGACAAGGATATAACTGTGAGGGAAGTGCGCTCCTCTCGAGTGGCTCCTACGGCCAACAACTGCACAATAGGGCCTTTGGCAATATGTGTCTGACTTGACGATATAAACCGAAATTGAAATAGCAACTCGCTATGGCTTATACTGCTGAAGAAAAAGCTGCAATGGCAGCTCGAAATGATCCAGAACAAGACCAGGAATCCCTGGCAGAAGGAGCATCAATTCCAAGCTCTGCAAACCAAACCAATGAACTTCATGATCCTAATTTCAAATCCGAAACCTTCCTTCATACTCTGGGCAAAACAGCTCAAGAGAGACATGAATCTATACTTGCAAATCGACATGAAAAGGCTGAATGGAATGTTGAAACCTTTGACGAATTCCAGAAACTATCTGTCGCCAACCAGAAAATGGCATGGACTTTGCACAAGAACATTCTTCGGGACTATTTGGCCCTAGCAGAGGACTCAAATTCGATACTGGCTGAAAAGGATGATGCCATTCTCCAGTTACAGGAACTGATCCAGAGCAACGAGCAACAAATCACAGAGCAACAAACAATTCAGAAATATCTTGAAAAGCAAACCCAACAAGCTCTGAAGAATGAACCAGGACACCACTCTCACAGTCGACTGTCAGCTCGGATTCCAGACCCTCCAATCCTCCACTGGCAGTTCGACATGTCAATCCAAGGCTTCGACCAAACTCTACAAACAAATTGCAGACAGCAGAAGAAATTCTCGAACTTTTGGAAAAAGTCTTCAGTGATCCCGATCGAAGGCACACAGCTCAAACTGAGTATCGAAAGCTGTATCAGAGAAACAACACCTTTGCAGTGTTCTGGGCTGAGTTCCAAAGGCTCACGACAGAGCTTGATTACTCTGAAGAAACTTTGCTGGATGACTTGCGCTTCAAAGTCAACCAACAGATGCAGAAAGCCTTAGTGGCTGAAGTTGGAGCTACTACACTTCACGAGTTTGCAAAGAAATGCATGCTCATCGACCAGAACATTCAGCGGATCAAGGAACAAGAAGACAAAAGGAAGCCAAAGTCATTTTCGAACAACATGGGCCAAACTCAAAATCAGGGCCAGGCACTTCGAACTTCAATCCCTCAACCTACAATGGATTCCAACATGCAAAACAAGACACAGAAGCTGTATCGACCACCGCATCAAGATCCAGCAAAAGAAATGCTCATGAAACTTGGGAAATGCTTCATATGCCGACAAAATGGACATCGAGCTTGAGACTGTCCCCAGAAGCTCAAAGCTCAAGTGAATGAGGTATCTACAGCTGAGTCTATCATCGATTCGGAAAACGAATAGCCTCTAGACAAGTCATCACTAGAGGCAGTGCAGCCAGAATTGCAGCTTCTTCCTCGAGATCCAGTTTTGATCCGGACACCCCTTTCCTAGCTACTTGTAGAATAGGAAAATACAAAGCTATTGTCCATGCATTGATCGATACTGGTGCCACAGGTAGAAACTTCATTAATGCTGCTGATGCAGAAAGAATATGTGAAATCGAAGGGATAAAGCCCCAGTCGAACTTGTGAAGCCAAAACAAGTTGAAGGATTCAATGGAGAGGCTGCCCCTGCTATCACACATGCTATATCCTCGACTACAAGTGGGAGAGCATGTGGAAAGCCTATGTCCATTATTCATCACTTCGCTGGGAAAACATTCCATCATTCTCAGGAAAGCTTGGATGAAGCAACATGGAGTTGTTCTCGATATGATCAATGATCAAGTCCTCTTCACTGGAGATTATTGCAACCATTCTATACCAGATCGAGCCCTCAAAACAGAGCCTATATCTAAAAGCGAAAGACAAAGGCCAAAGAAGAAAGCCAAAGAAATGCCTCTCCGGAACCTGCTCCGAAAGTGAAAAAACCAAAACCTTGCACCATAGCAATGATTGGCGCAGCACCATTTCGAATGCTCATGAAGCAAAGAGGAGCTCAAGTCTTTGCTATATCAATGAAGGACATAATCGAGCACAAGAACAAGACCAAAACTGAAGAAATTGACTCTCGACTGATCCTTCCGAAGGAATTTCATGAATTTTTGGATGTTTTTTCAAAAATGGCAGCAGACAAGCTACCTCCCCATCGACCTTCAGACCATCATATTGAACTCGAAGGTAAGGCAAAGCTGGGATATGCACCACTCTGGAATATGTCAAAGGAAGAACTTGATTTGGTCGAAGAATATGTCTTCGAGCACTTGCCAAAAGGGTTCATTGAAGCAAGCAAAGCCCCATACTCTTCACCCATTATGTTTGTGAGAAAGCCAGGTGGTGGTCTTCGATTCTGTGTTGACTACAGGAAGCTAAATGCCATAAGGAAAAAGGATCGATATCCCATACCACTCATTGATGAAACGCTGGCCCAAGTCATAGGAGCAAAATATCTCACCAAACTGGACATTCGACATGCCTTCAATCGAATTCGAATGCAGACAGAAGAAGATAAAGACCTCACTACATTCAGAACTCGATTTGGATCCTACAAATACAAGGTCATGCCCTTCGGACTCACAAATGGTCCAGCAACATTCCAGAGGTACATGAATGAAACCCTCATGGATTACCTCAACCAATTCGTCACCGCATACATGGATGACATTCTTATCTACAGTGCTACTCGAGCGGAGCATACAGAGCACATAAGGAAAGTCCTACAGAAGCTTCGAGAAGCTGGACTGCAAGCAGATATCTCAAAATGTGAGTTTTTCGTCCAAGAAACCAAATTCCTAGGACTATCGTGGGAGTCAATGGCATTTGCATGGACCCTGCAAAGGTTTCTACTATATTGGAATGGCAAACTCCAAAATCGCTCAGGGATATGCAAGCTTTCATTGGATTCTGCAATTTCTATCGAAGGTTCATCCGAAATTACTCCAGCATCATGAGGCCATTGGTGAACCTTACCAGAAAGGATCAGATATTCGAATGGACTCATGCATGCCAAACTGCATTCGAGCTGTTGAAACAAACAGTCACAGAAGCTCCTAACCTTATGTCTCTGCCGTTGGACGCCCAAAGGCATCCATTTTAGGTTAGATGTGGCCCGTGCACTTGTCTTGGCACTAGTTGCCGATGGGCGCACAACGGCATTCTCTAGGGTTACGTTTTATATGGATTACTATAGCTATTACCATCAATTCCATCATGGCAGAACGTCAGAGCATCAATTCCATTCAAGTTCCAGTGACTTTGAGCCATCTGATCCAACTAAACGTTGAGTATAAGGTGTTGGTTTGTTTGAGTGCACATTGCTGCAAAGCAGTTAGCGGTGTAGGACTAACTGAGCACTTCCGCAAAATCCATAAGGAGAAACTGGAAGTTCGAAAGCAGATACAGCACTATATTCAGAGGGTTCCATTTGATTATAATTATTCAACTATCCAATTACCAGTTGATGGACTACCACCACAGCCAGTTATTCCAATAGTTGATGGATTCCAATGTCAGCATTGTAGGTATTATACAATCAGTCGAAGAGTAATGAAGGATCATGGCCGAAATAAGCATTCAATGAAACGGGTGGATGACAACCAGTTATTCCAGGCTGTACGGCTGCAGACATGGTTTCGAGATGGAAAGGAGCGATATTGGGTTGTGGATGAGAGTAGACAGGCTGAAGGAATGCAAGCGACGCATCAATTGAGTAAGTTGGATTCTGGCAATCTTTATAGTAATCATTATAGTAACCAGCTGATGATATTAGTACGCGACGTTGGAGAGCAGTCTAGCGATGATGTTAGTGAGGAAGAGCAAGCCAGCAACCAGGAAGGCGATGCTGAGGACCAGATCATACGCGACATCGAGCAGTGGAAGGAGGCAGCACAGGAGCGCAGGTTGACACTGCTAGCCAAGCCCGCGGCTGATGAGCTAGACCCATGGCTACGATACACTGGGTGGAACGAGGTTCTTCAGGAGTCACAGGTTGATATTATCCAGACGTACAAATACGCGCGTGAGCCAGAGGAGAAGGAGACCAAATTACAACGACTGTTACGTGCATGGGATCGGATTCTTGAACGCTGTCTTGATACGCTAGCAAATATGGACCACAAGGATGTACTAAAGTGGTGGGCATCACCAAAGAATGAGGTTGCGAGCCAGCATCCATTCGAGCTTCACCAGAGCGTTCAGTCGGTTCATAAGTGTAGTGCAGTATGGCAGAGGTTCATCTGTTACATGATGAGGACGGCGACAGTTGACTGGGAGGATGATACAGGTATGTGGATGGTTACTATGGTGGTTACTATGGAAGAGGCAAACCCATCTGCGCAAAGCGCACGGCGTCAACGAGTGTGGAGGGTTGGGTGATAGGATATATCAAACCCAGACTCGTGTGGGTGTTTACTATAGTAGTTACTATAGAAGACCCCAACCCATCCGCGCGAAGCGCACCAGCGTCCCGCAACGTGTGTGGAGGGTTGGGTGGTAGGATATATCAAACCCAGACCCGTGTGGGTGTTTACTATAGTAGTTACTATAGTATATGACCCAAACCCGTCCGCGCGAAGCGCACCAGCGTCCCGCAACGTGTGTGGAGGGTTGGGTGGTAGGATATACCAAACCCAGACCCGTGTGGGTGTTTACTATAGTAGTTACTATAGAAGACCCAAATGTTACGACGGAACAAGAAGGCTGGCCAACTACAGGACAGGAAGGAGGGAGGTCGCATGAGACCGGCCCTGGTACCTGGAGGGGCAGCGGGAAATAGTAGTTCCGAAAGTATCACGTGACGGACTCGCAGGATGATGAGAAGAGTCCTAAGAGTCCAGGACTCTGAGGACTCGAGTGAGTTCCCAGGAGTCCACTAGGCACGTGATGGACTCGCAGGATGATGAGAAGAGTCCTAAGAGTCCAGGACTCCGAGGACTCGAGTGAGTTCCCAAGAGTCCACTAGGCATGACGCCACTATATAAGTAGATAGTATTTCCTTAGATAGGAGCTTCGTGCTCAACTCAATACAGTATTTGTTATATACTAGTAACGTGTTACTTGAAGCCTTTGTGTCTGATCCCCTGCCTCCTCTGATAAGTAAACCTTTACGCAAGAGAACCTCTGTGTCTTCTATCGTTCAGAAGTCAGCGTTACACTTTGAGCACCACTTCTACGAGGTACCGGCTTACACACAAAGCAACATGTCTGTCGTCAGTTCGAAGGGGAAAACCCCCACCACGCCAACTTCATCTCAGAGGTCTAAGCCTGAGAATGAAGAGATGCCCGATGCACCCACCGTCAACGAACTCAAGGAAACTCTACGCGTCAAGTTGCCCGACACTTACTCCGGCAACTGAAAGGAACTTGAGGTGTTTTTGCTACAGGTCGAACTGTACCAGCACTTCAATGATGAGAAGTTTCCCACCCAGGAGAGCTATGCCCTGTGGACTGCGTCCTACCTTAGGGGGGAAGCCCTGCGATGGATCGAACCATTCCTCAAGGACTATTTCAAATATGAAAGTACCAATGGAAGCATGACAACTACGCAGACTATGTTTGGCAGCTGGAATGGATTCTGTAAGGAAATCCGACGCATGTTCGGAGACATCGATGAGATTAAGACCGCAGAAGACCATCTGTTTGCACTTAAGCAGACTGGCAGCGCCCTCACATACTCCACAGAATTCCAGAGATATGGCAATCAGACAGGATGGGACACCAGCGCACTCATCAGCCACTACCGACGTGGGCTGAAGAGCCATATACGTATGGAACTTGCCCGTTTGGAACAACAACCAACGGACATGGTAGCGCTAATCGAACATACGGTCCGAATCGACAATCGACTATATGAATTCCAGAAGGAACGTCGGACCTATGACAAGCCCAAGAAAAGTTACCCCTACCGGGGAAACGAGGGCAGACGACGGGATCAACACCCGCGAGACAACCGTTGGTCGGACCCAATGGAACTCGATGCCACGTTCAAACCTGGACGACCCCGTGACCCTAAGAAAGACAGACAATTCAAGGAACGACTCTGTTTTAACTGCGACAAGCCAGGCCACATGGCCCGAGACTGCAGACAGCCAAAGAAAGGGAACGGCGGACGCAAAGTCGGCAAACAACTCAATGCCACCTGGACAGGACAGTTGAACGCAACGTTTGTGAGCAAACAGGACTGGGGAATAAACGGCGAAAGCACCCCAGAAGACGAGAGCTCAGATGAAGGGTCGGAGGCGGAATCGTTCACCGTCTCGGAACAGGAGACCTTCGATGAACTCGCACCTACGGAACCAATGAGTCCACGGTGCAAGAACGTAGTAAGACGCATGGCAAAACACGCCCACGCGAAGATTAGGGCCGAACGAGACAAGCCCAATGGGCAGAGGAAAATCCCCATGCTTAAAGACCTCTACGGGAACCTGTTACAGGGACTTCCGTTAAAATGCAAGGTGGACGACTGCAAGGATGACCTCTGGAGATACTACGACCAACTAACGAATACCTGCAGGCTGCTTGGCACGTCCCTACCCCTAGAAGCGGCCGTATCTGTAGTGCAAATTGGGAATCCCCACGCGAGCGACCCCTGTCGCTCGCGCGCGCACGGGCCATTGTGGAGCGATTATTGTGCAGCAAATTGGGAGACCCCCGGGACGGCGCAGGCGCATCAAGCACGCATACAGAGCATGCAACGAAGGGCGAATAGCGCACACACACCGCTCGCGCAAGGGAAGGATGGCGGCCAGCTTCTCCTACCTCGCAACTCACGGGGTGCTGCTCTGCCGCGACTGCGGGACCTGCCTCATGCCCGCGCGCGCCAGCCAGGAGTGGCACCTGAGGCACCCACCCCACGACCTCAAGGGGCCGGAGCTGCGCACCCTGCTCGACCTCTTCGCGACGCATGAGCTGCGGCCCCCGGGACAGGTCGCCCTGCCAGACCAGCCCTGCATCGCCATCGAGGGACTGCGCCGCCATCCGGCATTCTCCTGCATCCTCTGCGACGACGGCCGGCCGACCCTGACCCGGTCCGGGCCGGCCATCAGGGCGCACGTGTCCCGGGAGCACGGGCAGAAGCCGTCGCAGCAGAGTGAGGGTGGCGCGTGGCAGAGATGCACGGTGCAGACCTTCTTCGCAAAGACCGAGCATGTCCGGTACTTTGTGGTTACAGACGACGACAGGGCGGAAGGGGACGCAGCTACTGCCGCCATCGCCCTCGAGCTGCAGGAGCAGGCCTTCTTCGACCTGGCCGACGCGGACGCGACCATGGTAGCGGACGACATCAAGACGGAGGGCAACAAGGTGCACGGCTTCGACAGCCACCCCTCGGCTGCGGTCCCGTGGCTGAGGCGGACTGGCATCGAGAACCACGTGCGGGGCCTAGAGAAGGACGAGATGCACGCCTCCTTTGCGCTGCCGAAGAGCGCAGATGAGGGAGAGCCCGAGCTGTTCCTGATGCTCGAGGTCATGGACAAGATCCTCGCTGAGGTGCACGGCTGGTGCTTCGACGGGCCGGACTGCATGCTGACGTGGCCGAGGCAGCTCGCGCTGAGCCGCTTCCATGGCGCCCCTACCTCATCGGCACCAGCCAGTTGCAGGGCAGGCAGGGTGCGCGGCTTCGACCCCAAGAAGGAGCCATCCACACTGCGCACAAACTTTGGGTACTGGAAGCAGTTCATGGCGTACTGCTACCGCGTCGCCTACTGCGGCAGCCACTTCACGCCACCTCTGAGCGCGGACCAGGGCAGGCGCCCCGAGGACCGGATCCGGCTGACGGACGAGCAGACGACAGCTTGGGAGGCCGCCCTGGAGTGCGCTGCCGACGGAGACCGCTTAGCGCTGAACGACGCCCTCCGATCCCTCTGCATGGCCCTCGTCTGCCACGAGTTCGGCGGCGACCGCTTCAGCTCGCCGCTCCTCAGCTTCTGCGCGATGCTGAGCGTCAAGCCACGCACCAAGTCGTGGAAGGAGCCGGGCAACTTCAACAGCTGCCTGTCCGGCCTGATCTGGGCTGTGCAGCTGCTCATCTTCAGCACGGCCGCATACCTCGAGAGGTCGGGCGCCGGCAGCACGCTCGAGCACATCAACAGCATCTGCGAGCAGTACCTGCGGCCGGACACGGAGACGCCCATGGGCGAGATACTGGGCTGGCGCCTGCTGCTGTTCGCGGTGTCGAAGGACGGAGTGGGCTCGCACCAGGCGCACTGGGACGAGGACGAGCAGATCCTCACCTACAGGGACGTCGACCTGAACATGGACGAGGTGCAGCAGCTGCTGCTGTCGGAGTTCAGGCAGGCGCAGCATCTGCTGCACGGCGAGCTCATGTTTGGTGCAGCGGGCCTGCCACGGATGCGCGCGTGGGCACTCAAGGACAACCTCGACGCCGACAACTTTAGCTGGCACTTTGGCGAGCACCGGGAGAACGCGGCACTGCTGAAGCCGCTCGCGGGCTCACTGCGCAATGTCATACGGGAGTCGCAGTCACTCCGAGCGTCATTCCTCGACACCACTGCTGCACCTACTGCTGAGGATGGAGAGGATGGAGAGGCTGATGCAGGGGTCACGAGGGTCATGTGGCGACAGAAGGCCATCGACCAGTACGAGGCCGTCGCTGACGAGTTCCTCAAGCGGCTCCTCGTCCTCATCCACATGGCCTCGGGCCAGCCGCTGCGCGAGAGCGAGCTGTTCTCCCTCACCTGGCGCAACACGCAGCGGAGGCGTAGCGTCTACCTCAAGCACGGGCTCGTGATGCTGCACACCACCTACCACAAGGGCCAGCAGCAGACGGGCAGGTTCAAGGACAACATCCGCTTCCTGCCAGCCGCCATCGGAGACCTCCTGCTGGACTACCTCGTCTACGTCGTGCCGCTCCGCCAGGCCTTCCTGCGCCAGTCCTCCCCACGCGCAATCATGTCCGCGTACCTGTGGTGGAAGGACGGGGCCGTGTGGGCCGACAACCGGCTGACGCGGTGCATGGAGCAGGCGTGCGTGCGGGCCAAGGTGCCACGGCTGCACATCGCCAACTGGCGCCAGATGACGGTCAACATTGTGAAGACCAAGTTTGCGGGCGACCTTGCGTGCTTCGAGGGCATCGGGGCCGACGACGACGATGAGGATGCAGAGGAGATGGAGGATGACATCCGGACCATGACGAGGCAGCGGAACCACAGCACGCGGGTGGTGAACCGCAGCTACGCGAACCAGCTGAACGCGAACTTTGGGAATGTGTGGGATGGCCTCATCCGTCGGAACCTGCGCGCGTCATCCCTGTGGAGGGGGCTGTGGGATCTCGACACGGTGCTCGGGGATGCGGTCGCAGCAGCAGGGAAGAGGAAGCGCGAGGCGGCAGAGGTGGCAGGGTCCGACAGGCCGCGGAT